TGAGAAGCTAAAGCCACTTCCGCATGAGTTCGATTCCTGCCTGCCCCAGAGGTGACTACATGGCGCGGCAGACCTCTCCTGACCCACCCGCTGCTCCCCTCAGCAGTGTACTTCGTCGATCTGCCTGTTCTGCTCCCCACTCTGTCTCTGATGAAGCCTCTTGCCACCCCTGACCCTCTGGCCTGTACCCCAGTTGTGTATGTACAGATAAAAAAGTTATTCTTATAAAGATTAAAAACAATAACAACAAACATGGCTACTTCTTAACTTCCTACCTTTACCCTCTCATGTAATTTTCATTGATATCCCCAAAATGACCTTTTGTGTAGCATTCAACATTTCAGCAGATAAACACAGACTTTGACCTGACAGTGGGACTGCCAGCCAACAGCTCAGTGGACACAGCCATTATCTTCACCTTAAGGTAAAGCCTATGCAAACACCTGAATGCTTCTAGTATATTGTTTTTAACTCTTCCTAAAAAAAAGTAGGTATTAGAACAATGAATGTTGTTAACACTTACGTAATAATCCTAACACGAGTGAACACAATCTGTTTGACCCAGTTCTAAACACTGCATTTGTCTTACTTAATTTTGGCAACACCTATGAAGTGGGCCTTTTTATGATTTCATTGAACAGATGGGGAAACGAAATCATAAACCCATGAGATAACTTACCAAAAATCACATTGCTACTTCATGGCTATACGATTAGAACACGTGGGATCTGGTAGGTAAACAAAAAGCAAAAAAGAGCAAAGTGTCTGTCTTGGTTGCACATGCATTTGATGAACGGGATGACTGAGTGTTTAATGACGATGAAAATTGGCTCTAAGCATATTGTGGGAGCTAGCATTCAAAAGTTGTAACTAAAGGAGCTATTCGTTTAAGATCCTGAAAACTGAGCTTCCTTATGTATGAATTTTTTTCAGTTTTTGCATATGCACAATGTAGATGTTTTTTAGGAATTATTTGTGTAGAAGAAGTTATTGGTTTCAGCCTCGTGATGCCATGATCTTCTGAGTCTAGCATTGGGTTCTCTAAAGGACGAGAGTCCTTTAGCTCCGCAGCAGATAAGAACCACACACTACATAGTGAAGCATACAAGCTATAATATATTTTCATAATATAGAACTTTAAGGTATAGTAATCAACAGTGGCAAAATATTTGTCTTTGACATTATTTTTGTGAGATCCAACCTGTAATTGAGACCAGAGAAAATAGTATGGAAAAACAAATCCATGAGAACAGGATAAAAATATCATGAACAGCAAAATATGTCTGAGTATTTAAAACCGTATAGAAAAAATAAATTAGATGAACAATTGTGTAAATATAAATTAAAAAAGATGACATTCTTAATAAATAAAGTTTACTATTTACATTTTTATATATTGCTGAAAGACTTAACTTAGATCCATAAAAACACATAAACAGGATAAACAGGAAAAATAAAACCCAAAATAGGAGCAGCAAATTTATGCGCGTGAGGTACAGAGAAAGGATCAGAATCATGTTTTGGTTTTGGTGTTTTGATTATTTTCTGCCTTTTTTTTTTCTTTTCTATAGTAGAATTCTCATGAGAACAGATTTTAAGCATTTCAATGGCAATCATTGTTTTTGTTTTTTTTTTTTTGATAGCTTCCAGAAGGTGCCAAACAGATTTCAACATCATCATAATTAGAAATACCCATAATAATTATAACAATAAAAAGGTATAATATGATACATAAATATGGAAGAGCAGTTTGTAATATGAATACATTTTCTCTAGACGAGATCACAGTTTTATTTTGTAAATATTACATTTAAGTATATATATACACACATATATGTACAATTATATATACATGTGCATATATATGTAAATTTATATTTATATATAATATCTTTATATAGATAGATATCTGCAGACAGGTTATTGATTATAGAGACCCAAGAAAGCAACTCAATATTTGTTCAAAACTCTCCTCACTGACTGCTGGTGTAGAGTTTAAGAAGCCCCGAGTTGTTTACACTCAGAATGTCATATCTTCCTTTTAATGGAACACTTAATGTGGAATTTTAAGTCGGAGAAGTGATTTTAGGAACTCCCTTCCTCTATAAAATTGGAAATGGCCCGGAAGTCTTGGATAGACAACAGTAAACTGGCTTTTACACTGTAGGAAGTCATTGGCTTAATCTAATTATAGAGCTGGTCAAGGCCAGAATAAAGAGGAAAATCCAATTTTGCTAAAATGAATATTCCTAAACACAAGCCTCTCTCTTAAAGCAGATGACAGTCCAGGAACTCCAGCTTTGTGCTGGGACACTTCCAGCGAACGCATATTCCGTCTTTCTGCAGTGGCCCAGGGCCCGTGCACTCTTGAAAAATAACCCCTGGACGCTGTGCCAAGCCTTGGAGCTCACAGACTGCCGCAGCCCACGTCAGACCTCCGGGCCTCACATCCCCTGCCCTCGCACTGTGAGGTAGGTAAGTAGTCGTCTCTCCATTTTGCAGCTGCAGAAACGGAGGCATATGGGGAGGCAACTTGACGTGCTTCAGGTCACTGAGCAAATGGCTACCTGGGGGCACAAATTCCAGGGACAAAAAAGAAACAACACCTCTCTGGGCTACTGTACATTTAAGGATAAAAGAAAAGAAAAAAACAAAAAAAAACCAAAACAGTAACAACAAAGAGTTGGTAGGGATTTGGCAAAAGTTGACTAAATGAAGACAGTAGGCATTTATTTATCCACTAGCTGGTCTTTTGTGTTTGTTGTTTGGGTGCTTTGCTTTGTTTCTCACAAGCCGTGGCAAGTACCTGCTGGTCATGTAGCAGCTTTTCAGGAAAGTAGACTGTGCAGTGTGATGCTACGTGTGCCCGTCGTAAGCCCAGTGCGCTACTGGCAAATACAAACATTTCAGAGTGTGAAAAGCACAAGACAGTATGTCCCCTCGGTATTCGGTAAGCCAAGTTCCAAGCCTCCCACCCCCCCCACAACCCCGTTCCTTCTACCACTGATTGCCACCAACTAACCCGACGAAATGCACCTCAATAACAACTACTGATTGGAGGGGAACACGCCATATTTGCTGGACCTACCACAATGTGCCCCGAATTCCAGCGCCCTAAACCTGCTCCAGGCCTCCTCCTGGGGAACTCTTCTCACTTGGTCTCCCTACTCAGTCTGTGGAATGCGCTATTTCCTTTAGGAAGCACAAAGCTAGGGTCTTCACTAACTCACTCTGAATAAGGCATTTTTGTTCCTTTTCATCTCCTTGTCTCCTCTGGCTTGCTGTCTGAACAGCTTTGTCATCTTCAATTTCTCCAACATTCCCATTTGACGTAGTTCCAAAAAACCACCCTTAAAACTGTTGACTTGAATATGTGATTGCTTTCCTTCCTTCCCTCCTTCCTTTTGTTTTTCTTTTTGTTCAACACAGGTAAGACCTATAACAAACGGACAGTTACAACCAAGTTAAACCGAACCTGGAGGGGAGGTAGCTGGAATCTGTCTCAAAGATTTATTTTAAAGAACTACTATTTAAGCACTGGCCAGGGCAGGAGCAGGACTGCCTCGGTGGTCACTGCACACCGAAGCCAGGAGGGGCAGTGGGTATCCGCCACCTTCAAGTCTTGATCTCTCCTGAACCCCAAGTCAGCCACCAAAATAGACTTCCCCAGGCCTTTCTGCCTTAAAGAGGGGGTTGGCACAGAATCTGGGGGGAATGCAAGTCCTCTAGGGAGACAGTGAGGGCTGACACTTGGAAAGGCTTCCCAAGACCAGGCTTGGAGAGCTGCCCACGTCCTGTTTTCGTTCTTGCCAATGGCAGGCTAATATTTCTTCAGACTCAAAATGCCCAAGTGTTTTAGGGCCCCAATAGACAAGAGTTTCAGAGCTGCTGTCTTGTGAGTATTCCATCGTCCTAAGCAGGAGATGATCCAATGGCTGAGACCGTGGTTTATTTCCAGAAAGAAAATGAAAGTGGGATCATTTGTATTGCACTTTGTAGGAGCAGTGATGACCCGCCTGTGCTAAGGTTTGAGAAGGGCATCCCTGCCACGTGGGCAGAGGGCTGGCCACCAATCAGGTGCCCTCTTGCTAGTGTCCTGGGCAGATGGGAACCTGTGAGTGACAGGCTGTGTGGCGTAAGGAGAGTGGCAGATCTCTGCTAAGAAGGGCTCTGCCCTACCTGGCTCTGAAGAGTTACCAGCGTCTGGAAACATTGCTCAACCCGAGCAGGTAAGGAGCAGTGACGGTGGTGGTGAAGGGAGAAAGCGGATGAGGATCCATTCCAGGGAAGCTGGTGAAGTTCTCCGGTGGCTGCCTCCTCGCCAGTAGTCACGCTGTCTTTGGGTCTTCAAGACTTTTTGTACTACTTATTGGAGTACAATAAGGAGGGCCAGAGCCTACGTTGTTACCTTTCTTAGTCCGTAGCTTCTAAGCTATCACCATACAGGTTGATAACTCAGCCAGCCAAGAGTGGGGCTTAAAGAGTTGGAAGACAGAGCAGAGGGGGAACGAGATGCAGTCAGCTCTATTTCCACAAGTGGGAGGGGGCACAGGATTGGCCCAGGTGACCACAGGAGGGAGAGAAAGCCTGCCCGCATTCCAACGGAAGAGGAGTCTCTAGGGCGGGAAGGAGTGGTGTTCGCCACACCCTTCTGCAGCCCACTCTAGGTCGTGACTTGGGAGAAGCCGTTAAATGCTCTGAGCGCTGCAGCCTGGTCGGCGGGCACCTGTGCGAAGAGCACCTGGAAATATTTCTTAACAGACTGCAGGTGGCCAAGAGATGTCTTCTCAAGTGTTCTTGAGCAGCAGGTAAGTGCTGTTGCCAGTGACACCGTAAGGTTTTTGCAGCTATTTTTGGTCCCCATGGAAGAAAGGATGCTGACGGCTTGGAGGGGCAGCATGCGTGTTTGTCTGGTCTTTTCCATCCCTGGGCTGGTCTTTGTTGTTGTCTGTACTAGGCTTGAGATGACCTGCTTTAAAACAATCTTCTTTTGAGACACTCCTATACCTCACTTTCTTAGTTCTGGGTTTCAGAAAATATGTCCGATCCAACCATTCCCTCCCCCGCTCACTCTGTGTCAATCTCTTCCCAAATGATTTCATAGGACAGGTAAACTGAAGTGTGAAAGAGGTGGGTGCTTCTGTGTGCATCTGACTAACCTTTGGAGGCTGAACATGGAGAGGGAAGGGCACGCTGAAGACCATCAGGAAGATAGGGTGACTGTGTTGGACTGCTGGGGACGGAGGCTGTGAACTCTTTGGCTTCCTTCAGATGGCCCTCTCAAACAGTCTGCAATAACCATCTCCAAGATGAGGCTCTGTTCCAGAGTCACAGATACACAAAGCAACAGCAAGGGCCTCAGGCCCACCTCCAGCCTGCAGGGTGAGAAGGCTGGGCTAAAGGTATTAACTCAAGGGGTCCTACAATTTCAATAATCTCGGGAGTTAACACTGTTCCGCTTGACTATAAAATCTAACACTGGCTTTGACATTCTGGACTCAGTGAAGGTTCCAGCATCTCAAGTCCCTCAACTCTTTTCCAGGAGGAAAAGTCCACGTGCGGGACTCAGCATGTGGGCCAAATAGGAGATCCCTCTTGCAGAAGGCTGAGAAGTAAGGAGTTATGGAAAAAGTGTGGGTCACTTTTAAGGCAGACTGTTTGGTTGTGTGGGGTTTTCCCTAACCTAGTCCTACCATCTTGGGGCATTCAATGTATAGGATAGAGCAGCAGGAAAAGTAGCAGCAAATGTGGTCCCAAGGCAAGATTTGGGGAACAGGTGGGTTCTGGAGGGATTTCATGGCCTCAAGCAGGGGGCTGGTATAATACCTTGACCTCAAACCCTGGAGTAGGGGTACAATCCCCCATGGCAGCGGAGTAATTGGGGGGGGGGGAGTGCCGTGCTTTGCATACCTTGGATTCTTTACCTTTTCTTTAACCTACGTCCCTGGAAGGTAGGTGATCAGAGACTCATTTCTAATCCCAAAGAACTGCACAACTGTGCAGGCCCTATGTATTCCAAACCTCAGGGCAGGAGCTATCTTGGCATCTCAACACTCGGTATTAGCAGTTTTTGCAACTCTTTCTCCCAAGGACGGTGTTGGCTAGGCGCTCGGGAAAGGAAAGTTTGCTCCACTCTCTCTGCTCAGTCTCCAAAACCGCCCTCACGTGATGTCTGTGTGGGTACGTATGCATGCATAGGCACTGACCACAGGGGTGTACACTCCTAGGTACAGAGCTTGTTTCTTGCTGTGGTCACGTGGCAAATGTTTAGAATGTTAGGAGGCTTGGGAGTGCACGCTCTATGTGCGATCCACCTAAGACTTGGGGACGGGATTCTATTCCACTGTTCGGCAGGGTGAGACTTGACTCATGTGTCCCCACTATGAGTCCTTCCTGGGAGAAATTAAAGGCAGACCGGTTGGGTGCTAAGGATCCCTGGTGTGGAGAGGCCATTCCGTTGAGCAGCTGACGGTGAAATCAATACCAAAGGGATGCAGGTCCTGCGCTGGGCATTCTTTGACACCTCGTCGGCCTTCCTTAGCCATGGCTGTATCCCCGGAGGTCTTTCCGGCTGTGTTCTTGGGCCTGGGGGTCCCGACAAGCACAGTCACCTTGTAGGTCACAGGACATAGGGAAAGGGGTGACCTGCAGAGAGAGAGTGAAGAGATGAGCGGGGTGGTGGGGGCAGCAGAGTCAAGTTCATGTTGTGACTCTGCTTCTCACTTCATTTTGTGATAATTTTTATTATAATTATCACAGTGGGCATTTACTAGGGATTAGACAATGTGCTAAACATTTTCTAAACAAAACAAAAAAAATGCCAAATACGTCGATGCTGTGGCTAGGGATCAAAATAGTCACCAAGGCTCAAAAAGGGGCCAAATCTGATCCTTCAAGTATCATTAGTGACCTGTCTCTGGGTCGCAGCTGCACAGCCCCGGAGCTGATTCCTGACTTGCACTGTGAATCCTCAGAGCCGTTCAGGGGTGTTTAAGGGAACTGCCTGAAGGAGTATCTATCTACCTTACAGGATGGTGGTGGTGAGCCTGTGAAATGAAGGTCGGAAAAGTGTCTTAAGCAAACATAACTGCACATATTGGAAATTCTGGTTTGGTAAGGCGGGATGAAAACTAGCAAATCGTGTCTCAGGCTTCATCAAGGGGCACCAGAAATCTTAGAGTTTGTGCAAAATCTGCTAGAAGTATCTCATCATCAGAAATATTTAGAGGTGTTATGTTCATGTTTTGATGTATGTTGAAAAATCAGAGTGGGATAATGGGAAATGAAAATAAAAATTGGGAAAACTGACCTAAGTGGCCTGAACTTTACTTTCCAGCACATCCGCTCACATGCTCAGTGACCCTGGGCTGGCTTTCTTTGCTAGAAACTGACGGAAAGAGCCCAGCACGGCAAATGTCTCCCCCGTGCAGCAGATGAGCTATCTTTCCGAAGAGCACAGTGCAACCCCAGCCTGGGCAGACAATGTGGATTTCACCTCATTGCATCATGACATTTGCATACAACTTTCCCCAGAGGGTCCCCCATCTGCGCAGATGGATTTAATGACCTCATTTGCCTCCTGCCTGGACAGGGTCTCCAAGTGCTCAGGGAGCATCTCTGTCTGTCCAGCTTGTGCACTCACTTGCTGTATCTGAGGCAGTTTATGTGTCATGGCCTTTCCTCCCTCCCTACCCACATTCCCTGTCTCCCCTCTCCTTCCAAACCTTTGTCCTGAAATTTTGCAATAACTTAAAATGTAGGAAAGGGGGCCTCCCTAGTGGCACAGTGCTATTAAGCTGCAAATGCCTGAGCTTGATCCCGGGCCAGGGAGGTGACCCACACAGCAGACCTCTCCTGTCTCTCCCCCCAGCAGTATTACTTCAGATCTGCCTGTTTTGCTCCCCACTGTCTCTGGTGAATCCTCTCACACCTCTGGCCTGTACCCCAGCTCTTGCCTCTTCAAGCATGACCTTGAGCATGTGACCAGTTAGTTGGGCCTCAGTGAGTGCATTCATTAGCTGGAAAGTAATGAAAGCAGACACCTCCGGAGCTGGGATAGGGAGGAGTGTGAAACTGATGAAAACACTGAGCACATGCTCAGTGCTCACCTAACACTCCATCTCTATTCTTTGTGTGTCTCTGTCAGGCAGGGGACTGCTTAAGTCTAAGACATGGAATGAAAGAATATTAATTTCTCCATCTCTCTCTTACTCTTTACTAGCAGTGATGTCTAGCACATCTTTCTCTTTTTAACGTAGATTCTAGGTGCCTGATGCTGTGCGGGGGCAAGCTCACAGCTTCCCCATGCATGCACCCCCTGCCTACAACTGCCTGCTGTTCCCAAGTCAGGGCATGTGCTACCCAACTTCCGTGTCTTTGTGGAGGTTGGGTCTTCGACTCTAGAACATTCTCCTGCAACCTCTTCACATCCCAGAGACTCAGAGGACGTTAGACTTGGAAGAGACAGAGATAGACCTTCCATCCAAGTGAGAAAACTGAGCAACTAGGGTCTGGAGAAGAGTCCACACAGGGGTGCGGTGGGGCGCAAAGCCTGGGCGGCATCCTCACTTGCCTCATATCCATTAGGCAGTTTTGGGGAAAAGACCCTGTACTGCCACAGGCCTTAGTTTCTCCTCTCTCCGGAGAGTAGGGCAATTAAAAGAATACTGTATTGTATAAGGTCGTGAGGATCAAAGCAGCAGCATGCAGAAGCCCCAGAACCTGGCCTAGCACTTAGGAGATGCTGAATATATGTGTGTGGCATCAAGTTTCTCACAGCTCTGATTTCACCATCTGTGACCTTTCCTGCCTGCTGTCCCCTCCCAGACTTGGGCAGCTTCTGTCCTCAGCTCACCCACCCTTCTCTGCCCTCTTGTTCTCGCCTACATCCTTACACTAGAGCCATCCAGCTCTTGCTAATGTCTTCTGCACAATTTTCTCCATCACTCCTCCGGTCAAGAGCTAAAGCCCACTAAGGAGAAGTTCATATTTACCACTGGGCCTCAGGCAGGCAATATCAACAGGCTCTCCCAGAATATAACCCCAAATCCTCTCAAGTTCAAGGTTTCTCATGGTCTCACCGCCACATACTTGGCACCCTCACCTCTGTCCCTTCCTCCCTCCCTGGGCTTGTTGACTTAATCACAGACTCCACAGACGCATGAAGCCATCCCATCCTCTGCTCTTTCCTGACCAGCTCCTGTTTGCTCTTCAGGGCTCCTCTCAGGCACTCCTTACCCCCAGCATGGATCTGACCAGTGATGGCAGCATCCACCTACAGCCCTCCCTGCACAGACACACATGCAAACGCAGCTTGGGCAGGGGCCTTGAGTGGGGGGATATGAAAAAAAACATGAACATGCCCACCAAAGTCAGGGTGCCCCTGCACCCCACACTGTGTGATTGCAAGTTACTGCATGTAGGGGACAGGGATTAACAGGCTTTTATGCCACTAGCCTCTGTGGCTTATGCCTGCGGCCTTGATGATGTTGGCGCAGAGGGTGTGTGGGTGGCGGGCACCAACCTGATGCTTGACACCTGGGGCACCGGTATGGGCACATGGAAGGCACACTCCGGGGACCGGGAACGTGAGGGAGGGTGTGACAGGGTGATGGCTACCATGAGGACACCCAACTACAGAAGAGTTACGACCACCACAGGACGCGTATAGGGATTCATGGGGGGCTGGGGGGCTCCGCCGCCTCCCCCAAGAACCCTCCCGTCTGCCTCCTTGCACACCAGCCTTCCCACCTGGTGGGCCTCGTTCCCTGAGAGCATGAAAGCCTGGAAAATCAACGCGGCCTCGGGACTCTCTCCTTTCCCGTCTGCCTGAATCGGCAGTGAGCCTGCCTGTGTGTGAGGCACCACCGGCCCTTTGCTTGACGTCAGTTTACTCATCTGTACAGTGGCATTTTATTTTAATGATTTCTACCTTCCCCTCTGAAAACCCTTCTCAGTCTGAAACAAGAAGATAGACACTGCCTAGAAAAGTAGGATTTCTCCAGGAGCCCTGCTTTGCCCGCTCCTCTTTCCGACACCCCCAGTTCCACCAGCTTTTCCCAAATCAGCAGCTGGCAGGTCCCGCTGCTGTGGGCTGCTCGGGCGGCATGTGGGGCTACCCTCCTCCCTCCCGAGCCGGCCAGGGCAGCTTGAGCATCTTCCCCAAACCTCAGGAAGGAAACCCGAGCAGAGCGCACTGCATTCTAGAGGCCTGGTCTCAGCCTGCGCGTCTCCAGCACATGCTTCTTGACACAGCCATTACCGCGCGCTCGCTAGGAGCCTTGGAGGCAGGGGGCTGCTCCAGTGTGTTGTCTGAGAGGCGCTGCCAGCAGGGGGCAAATCCCTGGCAGCTGTGCTCACCACGCCCTGTCTGGAAGAGAAGGGCCCCATGAAAACCTCACAGGTTGGGTCCCCAAGAGGGGCTGGAGGCGAGACAAGTCTCCAAACCCATCGGCAGGGGCCCGTGCAGGGAGATGCAACCCGCCCTTTCTCTCTGTGTGGCCTGTCTGTTCAGAGTCCACTAGGGGTGTGAGGGGGGCGGTTCTCCTCTGGCCCCCAATGCCCTCTCTGATTAAAGGCCTGCAGCTGGGAAGAGGAGGTTGGCGGTCGCCAGGCTCCAGCACCTTCAGCTACTCCTGGGCCCTGGGAGAGACAGGGAGGCCTGTTTGGACTAGTTCACAGTCACGAACACACGCTTCCAAGGCCCTTCCAAGGGGCAGAGGCTTCCCACTGGCACACTCGGAAATAGAGGCTGAGGAACGCATCAAAGGAAACACACATGGCCCAGGCCCTACACTACCAGCCACAAAGTAGATAGCGGGACCCAAACCATTGAGAAGAAGGGGATGTTATCTCCTTTACAACCTGCCCTGGCTGACTGCTGCTCTTCCTTTGTAATAGCCAATAAATACTCTTTTCTCCCTTGTTATGAGCCTGGCACGGAGTTAATTCAGTGTGCATTATCTCACCCGCTCTTCTCAGCAGCCCTAATAAGGCAGTTATTCTGACTGGCCCCGTTTTATGTCTTAGAGAAACCCAGCAGCACACAGGTGAGTCACTGGGTGGACTGCAGCGTGGAATTCATAACATGCCTCAATGTTGTCTCCCTAGAGGCTGGTAGGGCAACGAAAAGGTCTGCAGCCTTTGCACAGAGAGGAGACTGAGGCCAGGAGGGAAGTCACATCCTGGTCATCAGCTCCTGAGTAGGACCTCCGGGTCTCTGGGTTCCCAAGTAGCTGCCCCCCTTTGTCCCAGATGGTCCCAAAGAAAACCTGCCACCCATCGCGCATACACATGGCAGCCAGTTGACCGCTGGGATTCCCAGCAGCGTGGGCTTAGCCTACTTCATACGGCCACCGGCTCGGGGACTCTGCCAACAAGCCCAGGTTGGTGATGGGAAGTGGAATCCTTTCCCCATTCACTCTGGGCTGGCGCTGATGCTCGGGCACAATTCTCTTGGGTGAACTGTCTGGGCTAACATCTGTCTGTGTGAGCGACTCAGGAAAACAGCCCAGACAATTGCACCACCAGGCCCTGGCTGCAGGTCTTGTCTAAAGCCAGAGACAGGCAGGGGCTGGATTCTGACTCAGACTCAACAGGAAGGGAAGAAGTAAAGAGCACACAGTGGGGAAAGCAAGAGACGCCCT